GGGGGGGGAGAAGACCCCTCCACTCTCCGCCCCACAGGGGGGGGGTAGAAGACCCCTCCTCTCTCGCTCTCTCCACCCCATGGGGGGGGAGAAGACCCCTCCCACTCTCCGCCCCACGGGGGGGGGGGAAGAACCCCTCCACTCTCCGCCCCACAGGGGGGGGGTAGAAGACCCCTCCTCTCTCGCTCTCTCCACCCCAGGGGGGGGGAGAAGACCCCTCCCACTCTCCGCCCCACGGGGGGGGGAGAAGACCCCTCCCACTCTCCGCCCCACGGGGGGGGGGAGAAGACCCCTCCCACTCTCCGCCCAGAGAAGTGCAGCCTCTTCTGAGGAAGAGGAGAAACAGCAGCTGGGGACCCTGATCTTTTTCAGCCTCCCGTGACGCACCCTCCACCTGTCTGCCGTTCAGCGGGAACAGAGCGGATGTCACTGCTTCCACACAGGAGGCAGAGTGAGGAAGACGGAGAGTAACACACCTGTGTCAGAACAGCCTCTTCCTCTTTCTTAGCAAAGCAGGGGAGTGCCGCGTTTTACTTCTCCTGCCGCCTCGCGGGGTTTCCAGTGTGACTGGGAGCGGAGAGCTGTGCTGTGCTACCCTGGCTGACCGCAGTATTACCAAGGCGCAACAGTGACCAGCACAGCACCTCACCCACTGTTACACAGCGCACAATGAAAACAGAGCGATAAACCAGACGTCGCAAAATCAATTTCGCCTGATGGCTGGCCACAAAGAGAGACTAAGACATCGACGACCCACTGCGCAGAAACAAATTAAGAAAAAACAGTCACGTGATGGAGAGTAACTTCAAGAGAAATCTGCAGGAAGCCGACTTCTGTCTGTCCCCTTCCCTCTCTCCTGCCCAAATCGCTCCCCTTCTACCTCGAGCGCCACCTCTCTGCTTTTCACCATCTCACTCAAGACTCAAGCCTCTCTCTCTGGGACTGTAGCTAAAAATAAACCTAAAATAAGATCCCAAACACAAAAAAGTGGATAAAACCAAGAACTGTATATCACCAGTGCCAAGCAGCAAGTGTACTGGTATATACAGCACAGTAAACGTATACACACGACACATGAGCAAGACCAACGCGCCAGGATACAGATGCCTCCCCGTCTCTCTCAGCCCGGTCTCCGGAGTGCAGTGGGCCCTGTCTGGTCACTGTCCCTCAGGCCGCTGCACAGCTCCGGATTCTGCAGCCAACACCCCACCGGTTGTCCCCCAACCATTCGCTTCAATTCAGCTCGGTGGCACCCAGTGCTAATTTTGGTTTTGCAACTTGTCTCACTCGTGTGGACAAAGTTCAAAAACATCTTGAGAGCTCATTTTGCAGCACCTCTCTCTCTCACGCGCGCGCACACACACACACAGCTCATAGGGATCTTGCTCAGCTGAAGAAAAAAAAACTCCCAAGGCCCTTCGGCAAACATTTGTTCTTCCAACACAACACAAGGAAACTCTGCTGACAGACTGATGGTGCCGAGCTCTCCCAGGCTTTCAGCCCCCACTCTAGAGCTGCCCTCCAGTCACACAGAAGCCATCGCTCGATCACACCAGCAGACCAGACGAGGAGCTTGGCAGACTGACGGATTCTCACACACGCTCATTTTCACACCCCTCACACACTGACCACTGAGACCAGGGCTGAAGGGACAGGCCTGTTTAAAGAGCAGAGTGACAGTGGCCCAGCTCCTCCATGACTTCAGACCTTGGTCACCGGACCCACGCAGACCCTCTCCGCCAGTAAGAGAAACCCAGCTGGGCTCAGAGGAGCATCACCATCATCACACCTGCGCAGGAGTGGGAGACTCTCTCTCAGCACACAGGTGCGCCGCTGTCAGTGACCGGTGCCGAGACTGGGCCAGCCCACTGACACGGCTCATCATCAGCAGCAGGGGGGCGGGCGTGCTCGGAGCTCGTCTCGCACCCGCGTGGACCGCTCTCACGGTTTCAACGCGCGGGGGGGAGATGTCAGGTACTGGGTCCACGCCAGTGTGAGGGGGGTGGGGCACGACCTGTTGAGCTGGGACTGCGCGGAATGAGGAGAGACCCGTGCACCTCAGCTCGACTTCGCTCTGTGGAGGGGCGACACACGACTCACCCCCCCTGACCTGACGCGCACCTATGGAGGCTCGTTAACCCCCTCGATACCCAAGGAACCCAAACAAGCCCATCCGCTCGCCGACTCAATCCACGCCCAGGCACGCCGGCCACGATCCCGCAGGACGCGGCGCTACTCACGCTCGAAGTCGGAGTCGTCGTCGTCGTCTTCCTCGCCCTCGTCCCCGTTGGACTCGGTCTGCATGGGCTCGCCGTCGAACAGCACGGCCTTGGCGGGGGCCCTGCCGGCCCGGCCGTCCCGCAGGCGGGTGAAGTACTGCACCGCGAACTCCACCAGGTCCGGCGGCCTCTGCCGCAGCACCTCCACGGTATAGCCCTGCAGCAGCTCCGTCAGGCCGGCCGGGATCTCGATGCTCATGGCGCTGCCTGTGGTTTATTTTCGTTCCCCTGTGAACTCACCCCTCAGAGGAGGGTGTGCGAGTGTGTATGTGGGGGTCTGGAGGAGGGGTCGGGTCAGCTTTTGTTTGATTTAAAAAAAAACAAAGCGTTTTAAAATAGCGCAGGAATGAAGGGGGGGCGGGGTCGGGAAAAATATATTTTTTTTCTGTTGTTGTTGAAACTTAAGTGCATGCAATACGAGAGAAAAAGAAATAACACAACACGGTGCCCCCTGACTGGGAAATAATACCTAACGTAACACGAGCGCGCCTACGGCAAGCCGATTACACGATGCACACACGAGTGGGAATACTCTGTCGTGGGGAGCAGCTGCACACAGACACGCGGGGACGTGTTTTCTGACAGCTCCAAATCGCACAGATCCTCCTGAAGCGGCGGCGGCGGCTCAGACCCGCTGGTTTATTCGGGGAGGAGGAGGAGGAGGAACACGCAGACGAGCAGCCCGGGCCGCTCCGTGCGGAACCGGCGGTGTTTACGAACCCCGGCGCGGCTGGCTCGTGGCCGGGTCGGGTTAAGGCCCCGCTCGAGCCCTTCCCCCCCCGTGCGCTCGAGGCGAGGAAAAGTTTTTTTTTAAATTAAAAAAAAAAAACAAACGTTCGGCTCGCGCGCGCGTAAACCGCCCCGGCTGGAGGGCAGGTTTTTTTTTTTGGGGGGGTATGGGGGACCCCGCCGACTTCACCGCTCCGGGCTTGTCGTGGGGCTGTGGGCTTTATTTATCTCTCGATCTATCCGCCCGCGTCTCCGGTCCGGCGGCGGCGACCAGCCCCTTCGGGCGAGGCTGCGAGGTAACTCCCCGGCTCGACAGCCTCCTCTGCGGGTCTCCCCGTCTACCTCCCCTTCCTCCGGGGCGCCCCCTCGCTGCCTGGCCCGTGACGAGCGCCCGGGCCGCCGGGGACCATGAAGGGCCGAGACCGGGGAGGAGCAGGCCGGCCGGGGCTGCGAGCGCCGTCCACCCAGCTCCGCCTGGACCGGCTGCCCGCCTCTGCGCTCCGCACCGCCAACAGAGGGAGAAAGGGGGACGCGGGAGCTCCCGAAGAGCGGGTGGCTTTCTCTTTTTAAAAACAAATACAGCAAAGTCACAAGGAGGAGAGGAAAAAAAAAAAGGCGTCAGTCCAAAAGTCAAGATAAACCCTTGGCCGCGGCTCGGGCTGTCTGTCCCTCTGAGCGTCCCTCTGCTGCTGCCGCCGCCGACCAAAACCCGACTTTTGTCCCCCCTCCTCCTCCTCCTCCTCCCGGGACAGGAGTCCCCGGCGTGTCCGGCTTCTTCTTGAGTCAGTTACTCGAACACGAATTATCCGCTTGTTGATATTTACAGTCGTCTCCCGCTCTCTCCGCGTCTCCCTCGCTGTGCCGCTGCCGGCGAGACCCTCGCTCTCCTCGGCCGGAGCTGCAGAAGCGGCAGTGAGGAGGAGGAGGGGCCCGGGCGAAGCCGCTGAGCGACGTGCCTACCCGCCAATCAGGAGCCGGCTCGGCCAAGCCGACGCCAAGAATTTTCCCTTATTTGGGCATGGAGTAGGCGTTATCGCCCCGCGCGCGCGGGAGGGGAGGGAATGGGGCCCCGGTGGCGGAATCGGAAGGGACCAATGAGCGGAGGCGGGGGGCGGGCGAGTGAGGGGGGCCTTGTGTAACAGAGGGCCAATCGGAAACGAGGTAAGGCGGCGGCGGCGGCGCAGCCAATGGGAAGGCCAGGCAGGGAGGAGACGTCACGAAAGGGGAAGCCGAGAACGCGGGAGGGGCTGGAGGTGTGTTTGACACCGCGCCTGGCAAAGCAGGGAGCACTCCGATTGATCAAGCGTGATCGATAAGCTGGATCCCGATTGCACCGCTTGGCCAGTAACTAACGGCATTTCCAAAGCTCGTTAGCATACGCCCGCCCGAAGGCTTTAGCACGGGGCAGGTCTGCGGCGTAAGGTACAGGGTGCATCATTCGCGCACGCCAGCGTTTCGTTTTCACTCTTCTTGGGTGCGCTGGAATCGATCATCGCCTCCTTTCCTTTAACCCCATTTCGTAACATTGCGTAAATCCCTCGTGACCCAGTCGGCTTTGTCTGAAATCCTGGTAATTAAAGCCGTTCTATTTTCGTATCTGATTAGGTGGGCCGGTACCAGACGGTGAACTCCGCGCAGCGGGTCACTGTTAATGCGGCTGACCGTGCACATCGGTGGGCTATCCCACGCTGCGCTAGAGGTCCCAGGTCCGGGGGTGCAGCGTGTGCGCAGGGCTCCCTCTGGTGGCCACTCCTGGTGCTGCACCCTCGTGTTCAGACACGTTAACCTGCCCCTTGCTCTTTCACGGCTGCAGCGGCTCGCCTCGTACTGCGATCGGGTTAGAGGACTTTCTTTCTAAGATGCTGTTAGGCAAACCTACTGCCCTGCTTCCTGTAGTGCAAGCGCATTCATCGTCCAGTTAGCACCTTGGATAAAAAGTGGCAGCTACATAAAGGCAGAATAACACAAACACAACCAAATACACACAAGTGCTGGGGTCAGGCTCGTTTGATAACTGGGTTTAAACCAGAGTCAGAACTGTAGCTTAGAAGGGTCAATAAATGTTCCTCTCCACACACACTGGAGGGCATGTACATATACACATATATACAGGTGTACAGTATATATTCTATATACACACACTGGTATTCCCTGTATTTTAGCGCACTGCTTGCTTGACATTCAGGAAGGTTTTTAAGGCAAAGTGTTCTAAATCATTTTTTTTAGTCTCAGTTAAAGGCCATCGTTAAAAAAAAAACAGGCAATTTCGAATGAAAAACGAGAACAATCAAAAAGATATTGCAGCCGAGGACTGCAAAGGTCTGGCTCTTGTCCCTCTCTCCACAGGTGCCTAAAGGGCAGAGCAGGGCGGCGCTCACAAGCTGGGAGCGATCCAGTTGAGAAACTTCATGGCCACCTCGAACCCCAGGAAACAGGCCTGAGAGAGCGAGGGAGAGAAAGGGGGAGATAGATTTATACCAGGAGAACACTCATTCAGCAGGTTTATACACATGAAACACTGTCCATATGCATTCAACAGAACTGGGAAAGTCCCTGGCCACCCAGAGAGGACAGGCTCAGTGACCACAGCCTGGACACAGGCAGACCTGGCTGTCCAGAGAGGACAGGCTCAGTGGCCACAGTCTGGACACAGACACTGGACACAGGTAGACCTGGCTGCCCAGAGAGGACAGGCTCAGTGACCACAGCCTGGACACAGACACTGGACACAG